GACAGAAGATACATCTTCATGATGAACCTGACCTATACTCAGAGCGGTAGTTACTCTAAATACCAACAGAGAAGGAAAGAGTCTTCAAATCAAGTGTCAATGCTATCCACTATGTGCACAGGGTAGATAGGGACGGGCAACTGAGATGCTGGCTATCTAAAATGAGGGGGCAATAAAGGCATGAAGTGACTAACTTACAAGGTTTCCAGAGGGAGCTTAGTTTAAGAGGGTGGGGGGAAAGAAAGAGTCCCCACTGAATAGCTAACATCTTGTCTAGATGAGTCTGGTGAAAGGAGCTGGGGATAAGATTCATAAGATTCAATAGTGAATAACTGTTATCATGACTAATCGTGACTGTCACCCTTGTAAAGGTAGAAGTTTTATAACAAAAAAGGGGAGTGTTTAATCTTACAGTCCAGAAACAGAGGACCCTAGGACCATCCAGAGAGGAACGCACAACTAGAATGTGGGACCTTATCCAGAGAAGCAGCAGCACCAGAGATGGGGTAGAGATGGGGGCATGAAAGACTCTAGATTCATCAACTAAGAAGAGAAGGACTAAGAACTGGTGGCCAGGAGCAGACTTGCAGAATGTGCCCTTTGGAGATGTAATTTATTATATATGCCTGAGTGGGTTTTTTTGTTTGTGTGTTTTTTAAAAAGCTAAAGTGGATAGAGAGAAATACTGTAACTGATGGTATATGGAGGGGATTATAATAAATGTAATGAAACAAATTATATGAATTGTTGAATGTGAAACTGATGATGTACCCTGTAAACTTTTACTCAATCCGCAATAAAAAACCTTAAACTAAAAAAAAAAAAATTTAATGTTCTATTTGACAGCTGACTGATAATAGGCATATTGGTACTTGTTTAATCAATGCTACTTAAACTGTTATTATTGTATGCCATTCCGTTGGTTCTGACTCTTAGCAACCCAGTATGGAGTTTCCGAGAGCAGCTGGTGTGTTTGAACAGCCAACCCTGCAGTTACCAGTCCATTGTAAATATATATTATTTATGATCTTTCATATACATGACATATTTGATGTGCACTTAAAAAATACACATGTAGAGTGGAGAGTGAAGTGTCCAGCTGATAAGAAGAGAGGACATATGCACAAGAGCACCCACACTTGCAGATAAGACCCACTTGATCTGGCTTCAATGACTGGATGATTAGAGCTCAACTAGAAGAAGAAAAAGAAGGGAAAAAAAGAGTACTCTGATGAAATTCAATGAACTTGACCTACACCAATGGGTTCAGTAGCTCAAAAGAGGGAACAAATCTTTACAGCAAGGATCATTGCCACCCCCTCCATACACAGAGTAGACAGGGATGGACATTGGCTACCCAAAATGCAGGGGCTTTAAAGGCAAGAAGTGACTGGCTTACAAGTTTGCAAGAGGGAACCTAGATCCAGAGGGCCTGGAGGAAGGTAGACTCTCCAGTGAGTAGTATCCAATCTGTCTAGGCAGGGCTGATGAAAGAAAATGTAGATAGGTCTCTTGTGATACAATAGTGAATAATTGTTATCAGGACTGATTGTGAGGGTTGTAAATGTAAAGGTAGATGTTTTGTAGCAAGGAGGGGAGTGATTAACTTTTCAGTCTAGGAACGGAGGTCCGTGGGACCATCAAGGGAGAAGAGTGGAGAGCAGTACCCTACCCAGAGAAACAGTGATGCCTGAGATGGAGGCAGAGATGATGAAGTGGACAGATGGAGCAGCTGGGGACTTTAGACCCATAGAGGGAGAGGGGCTGTGTGCTGACGACTGGAGGGTGGGGGGCAGACTTTGGTTGGTTGATGATGCAGGGAATTGTAACCATGGCAATGAAACGATGTACAATAGGATGAATGTAAAACTAATGTTCTCCCATGTAAACTATCACATAATTCACAATAAAACATTAAAAAAATAATTAAAATAAAAAAATACACACTTATGCATATACACATGAACACAAAAATAAGGGTGAAATGGAAAAATGGAATTAAAAATAATGGAATTTTTTTCATGGACTTTTTGAAACTCCTTTGTATATAAAAGAAACCTGCAGGATAGCTAATTATTTATTATTGTCCTTCTAGTCAAATTTCTCCATTTTGTGACATATTGTAAATCCTAGCCTCTGAGGCTTTCTGCTCTCTTAATGATTTGGAAATCCTATACAGGGTCGAAACTGACTCCTCGGCACAACACCACCACCACCATGCCTGTGATTATGGGCCGATTTTGAAATGAGTTGCTAAGATATAAAGGTTAAGATGGCCAAGGAGTAAACATTACAGTGGAACTAAGGATTTATAATGCTTCCACCTTAGTAGAGGATGTGACACAAGTCACTCCCCTTAGATTCCCTTGAGGACATGATCTGACTCTAATCTAGAAGACTGCTTTGGAAAACCTTGCTCTCTTGCCCTGGATCTTGCATCTGGCTCATTACCTCTGACCTCCAGCTCATGGGACTTACAACCCATCACTGGACCTGATTCATCAGATCCCTCAGTCTCTGGGTCAACGGCCTGTTGTCTGACCTGCCATTTTGGGTTCCTCAACTCCTAAGACTATGTGAATGAGAAGAGTCCTCCCAACGGATCTCTCAACTATGGGTTTGGGACTTGACAGCCTCTACAATTGTGTGGGTCATTTCTTTTATAATTGTGAGTTTTGTGAGACGTTGCAGCATGTTGCAGAACCCTGGAACTTGAGGACAGGGAGGAGTGGTGATTGATATCAAGGACTATTGAGGGGTATGTTGTTGTTGTTAAGTATCATTGAGTCAGTTCTGACTCATAGAGACCCTGTATAGGGTTTCCAAGGAGCAGTTTGTGTGTTTGAACTGCCAACCTTGTGGCTCACAGTCCAGTGCTGATCCTGTAGCATGAACAGTTGGGATATCTTTAACCTCCAACTGATAAGAATCAGGCTTGTGTTGATCTTTACAAAATTATTCATGCAAATCCTAAGTCAGGTTTCAAGGACTTGGGTGTTATTCTAAATAAATACCCCAATGTCCATGTTCATAATAAAAAGAAGAGAGACATGATTTTAGTGGGGAGCTGAATGGGTGACAAGGCGGAGTGGCCTTACCTCTTGTGGTGAAATGCTGGAGTATTTGTGTTCCCCATAGGACTTATAGTCAACCATGTAGGAGCTTTGGTATATGTCTAAGTCCACGGGGCCCTGAAGGACAAGGGAGGAAACAAAGCAGAGATCTTGTCAGGACAAAGACAAGCTTTGGGCCTGGCATTCTGAGCCCTTCATAATCTGTCTTCTACCCACCTTTGCCCATCTCATTCTCCTGTACTCTACTATTAGCTATGTAAGCAAGCCACAACAATTTACCCTTCAAACATACCTTATACATTGATCTTCTCTTCTGTTCACAATGCTAGTTGCATGCCACACTGACTATCAACCTCCTATGTATGTTTTAAGACCACAATAAAATGTCACTTCCCCAGAACATCACTCCATCCCTGAAGAATAAAACCTTTTCCCCTCAGTACTGGTACCATAGTGGGTACGAATTGGGCTGCTAACCTCAAGGTCGGCTGTTTGAAACTACCAGCTGTTCCGTGGCAGAAAGATGAGGCTTTCTGCTCCCGTAAAGATTTACAGCCTCAGAAACCCTGTGCAGGGTCACTATGAGTCGGAACCGACTCCATAATACTTAACAACAACAACTTTCCTAGCACCTTTTATGCTTCGTTACTGCACTCATTGTGGTCTGTTGGAACTGCATTAATGAAGTGCATGATAGCAGAACCTTATTTTAAGTAACTCTGCAGTTCCAAAGCCCAACACAATGCCTGGCATAGTGTGGGGGTCTCATAAAAGCATGCAGAAGAAATAAAGGAAGCCCAGAACATTGCAAACACTTAGCCCTCTCTGCTTATTGTAAAGACAATAATAATAATTGCAAAAGAATGATCAAAGAGCCTGTCCACCCCTGTGGCTGCTTGCTGAGCTGCCTGACCCTGAAATGGTTCAAGAGGACAGAAACCCACAACACTCACCTGTTTGGGACACGTCCCACCTGCCATGGCAGAAGACCTAGACATGGACAAGCTGGTTAGCTCTGTTTCTGCTACAGACAACGACATGAGCCACTGTCCTCCTAACCCACTCTTCCTTACCTCCCCAGGCTCCTGCCCTGCTCATTACTTACTCATCTAGGCCCTGGGACAAGGCGCTGGAATAAGGTTCTGGTAGTCTTTAGGACATCAGATTTACCTGGCTAGTAGAGGTCAACCTGATAGTGAGGCAAGCGGTATGCTGGTAAATGTTTACCAACCATTTTGGTGGTGGTGGGGAAATAAACCCTGTTTTATAGAGCCTGCCAATTCCTGTGGCATAAATGCTTCATGACCCATTTCAAGCTATCAACATAATGTCCCCCCGATGGTGAATTGGAAAGATGTGCACAAAATGAGTTCTCAGGAGTCTGTACATTTTGGCCCAGACACAGGACCTGCTGAACTAGGGCTCTGAGCTGCCTGGAGGAAGTGAGATTAAAGCCTAGGAATCAGAAGTGCCCTGGTTCGGGACCAGAGTATCAAAGGTGGGGATCACAGTGAGGTTTTGCATTCCCCAGTTGATCAGTAGTTTATAGGTCCAATACCCGCTTGTGTGGAGTTGCCATAAATCGGGGGCAGATGGAAGCTTACAATAAAAACAACAGGTCTAACACTGCCTTTCTTCCAAATCTCCATTCTTAAATCCCCAGGAAGGTGTTTTACTGGCCAGGCCCCAGCATGCTGTTTGAGCTGTGGCCTCTTCTGTCACAAGATGTACAAAGCCCTGAGTTCTTGATGGGCACTCCATTTCCTCCCTGGGAAACCCTGCTCTGAGTCTACTCTTTTTAGTAGGATGTGGCCCAGCAGGGGTTCCAGACCTCACCCAGTTCCTTGTGTTCCCTCTTTATTGTGCCAGACAGCTACTCTCCTTGAGCTGTGTGTGGTAGATAAGCTTCAGTGGAGACAGGTCCTACCCTTCCTTTTGCCAAGGGACCACCATGTTGCTGTCCGTCTAACCCTAGATACCACAGTCACACAGACAGGTCTTTGATGCACCCACTGCCACACTTGTCTGAGATCTGCATGATGAAGGCTGCCTGGGTCACATTCCATGGATCATTGTGACATGGGTGTTGGCCTGTCATTCCCAGAGCATGATTGTTCCTCTGCCTCTGACACACCCTCTCATAGTACCTGAGCCAACATGAGCTCTGGCACCATTGGAAGGGACCTGGGAGGCAGGTGGTTTCCATCACTCCTCAGAATCAGTCTTTTTCTAGGAGAGGAATGTAAATAGAATCTCTTATAGATTATGGCATCAGTCTGTATGACTGAAACCCCTTCCTACTCATCTCCTTCATTCCTTTGTTACCTAAAGGCAGATTCATTCCTCTTCCACGTGTCAAAAGTCCATCTTGTTGAAGGGTCACCTCCTCCAGAAAGCTTTCCTTGATTACTCATCAATATTTATTAAACACTTGTTTTGTGTTACTGCATGGGGTACAGTTCTACTCAGGAAAATACAGGGTCCCATGAGCACTGGTGTTACTAAAGTTGGCATTACTAAATGTGGTAACTTATGGTGTTATTCCCTATGACATTTTCAGGAGGTATAATATGCACTGCCACCCCAACACACTACCCCTAGTGATGCCACTGACCAGGAGTCAGATTTATCCCAGGAACGAGGGTGCACCTGACACAACCCATGGCATTTTCACTAACCTCACATGCATGTGAAGGTTAGTGAATAAGGAAGACTGTAGAAGAATGGATACATTTGAGTTGTGGTGTTAGAGGAGAATATTGAAAGTACCATGGACTGCCAAAATAACAAATAGATCTATGTTGGAAGAAGTACAGCCAGAGTGCTCCTTGGAAGCCAGGATGGCCAGACTTTGTCTTTTATACTTCACACATACTGTCAGGAGGGACCAGTTGCTGGAAAAGGATATCATGTTTGGTAAAGTGGAGGATCAGAGAAGAGGGGAAGACTCCCACTGAGACGGATTGGCACAGTGGCAGTATCAATGGGCTCAAATGTGGCAATGATTGTGAGGTTGACCCAGAACAGGGTAGTGTTTCATTCTGTTGTGCATAGGGTCGTTATGAGTTGGTACCAACTCGATGGTACCTAACAACAACATACCTGAATTGAGTTCTGGGTGGTGTTGTAATGTATGTTAATCTCAGGTTGTTGCCTGCTGTTGTTGGGTTTTAGTCCAAGTACAAACACCTTCTAGTATATTTTTGTGAAGTTGGTTTGGTTATTGAAAATTCCTCTCATTTCTGTTTATCTGAAAATGTTCTAATTTCATTGTCATATTTGAGTGACAGCTTTGCTGTGTATATATGATCGTCTTAGTTCTCTACTGCTGCTATAACTGAAATACCATGAGTGGATGGCTGTAACAACCAGAAATGTTTTCTCCTACAGTTTAGGAAGCTAGAAGTTCGAATTCAGAGTGTCAGCCCTTGGGGAAGGTTGTCTCTTTTTTGGCTCTGGAGAAGGGTCCTTGTCTCCTTTTCAGCGCCTGTACGCCCAGATCTCCATAGACCTTGACGTCAGTCTTCCCCTGGATCCAGGACCTTCACAGTGCAGGGATCCCAGGGCCAAAGCTAGTACTTCACTCCTGGCTCTTCTAGCTTAATGGTTGTTGCTGTTGTCAAATGCAAATTTGTGGCATTGGTTGGTTCTGACTCATAACCTTTTGTAGGTTTTCCAAGGAGTGGCTGGTGGGATTGAATCACTGATTTTGTGCTTAGCAGTCCAGTGTTTATCCTTCAGTGCCACACTAGGACTTATAATGTTTTCAATGTTGTTTGTTGTTGTTAAGTACCATCCAGTACATTCCAACCCATAGAGACTCTGGTTTCCAAGGAGCGACTGGTGAACTTGAACCACCAACCTTGCAAATTGAAACAACTTTGCAGTTCAACACATTAACCCACAGTGCCACACCAGAACCCTTAGTAGGTACTTGAAATAAACCACACTTTAACAAACACACAAATTTTTTTATGTATAATTTCATTATGATATTTGATTAAAAGTATAAACTTGAGGTCCTCTGAGATTGTTATACTCATACCTAATTAAATGCTTGAGAAGAATTATCTTTCTTACCCACAAACAAAATGATCTCAGCATAGAAAATTATGTGGAGCAAAGAAACCAGCAGTGCCACAAAAATAGAAACAAACAATACAACAACACACACACTGAAAAATGACAGCAATCAATTTATACCTATTGATAATTACACTGAATGTAAATGGACTAAATGTACTACTCAAGAGACATAAAGAGCTCAGTGGAGAAGAAAACAGGATCCTTCAATATACTGTCGACAAGAGACACATCAAAAAAGATGGAGATGCAAGCAGACCAACCTGGAGTGGCTAGAAGAACAGAAGATACTTCTTGAATGAAAGACCTACAGGAAAAATACAAAACAACATAGGCAGACCGACTGTTACTACAAGAACAAGCAACTTGCTTGCCCAAGAAACATCAAGGCAAGTGGTCGGGTCCCCTCAGTGCAACCCCCCTTCCAAGACTAAGACTCAGTGGGAATACATGCTGTGATTGGTGACCACGCTGGACACCGATAAGGGGAAGTGAGGGAAAAACAGCAATGAAGCGGTGAGCTAAGCCCTACAACATTCAATAGACTTCTGT